AGAATAATGTTTGACCAAATGTCTGGGCGCCCTGTGGCCCAGTCAAGTTGACACAAAAAATCAACCATCACAAGATGCTTAGAGTGTAGTGCTGATGACACCAAGGTCAAGGGTTTGGCTCCCCATACTGCCCCCCCCCACACACACACACGATCCTTATCAAAGATTTAGCAGTATGGAATTCCAATGTCATTGTGTGCCTCTTGACATTCCAGTCGGGGCTGGGCTCCTCAGCAGTGTCTGAATTCAACATCTGCAGCAGTCCTTCCAACTCCCAGCCATCACACAAAACTCTGAAATTTCTGTCATCCTGCTTGTTGACATCTTAAATCTTCAGGAGAAAAAAATTGAGTCTGTTGAGGTTTTCAGGAGCATATCATAGGGTTACGCCTGGCAGATCTCCTTCCAAGGGCCAGTCTGTCACCTCAAGACCAGGACTTCATGTTTTATTTTATTTTTTTTAAGAAGCCTTTAGATTAGCCCAGTAGTATTGAGAGCAATCATGATTTCTTAAATATATTCAAGGAGGTCCTGAAAAACCCCAACCCCAGGTGATCATTCATTCACTAAATATTTATTGAATATTCTGAAAACCCTCTGTGTGCCAGGTTATGATACACACACACACATACACATGCACACACAATATATATGCATGCATGTACGCATTATATATGTATGTATGTAATGTATACGTACATGCATATAACATACATGCACACAGAATATATGTATGTACACACATAAATTTTAAAATACATATATGCAATATAAATAAAAGTGACCAAGATAAACATGACCTCCCCTACACCCCCCCGGAGAGATGGAACCTAAACAAATTTTTAAAAAATCACCCTATATTCTGGTAATGACTATAAAAGAAACAAATGGGGCCCTGAGATAAAGAGTATCAGTAGTGGGATGAGACGCTGTCTAAGCTGACACTTGGCACATGAGAAGGAGGCACCCCTGCAGAGGCTCAGGGGCAGCACGTGTGAGGCAGCAAGAGAGTCACACACAGCATCGCAGGGAGGAGCTTGGCACACTGAGAGGTGGGGGACAGCCCAGCAGGCCGAGTGTCCCGGGCAGTAGTGAGGCCCGAGTGGCCCGGGCCTAGAGGACAGACGGGCCAGCTGGTAGAGGGCTTCCTCGCAGACGCAGGAAGGGGAACCTGCCAGCTTTCTAGCTTTATAAAGACACTTTGGTTGCCTGTTCAAGATAGTTGAAGGGGACAAAAGTGGGGAAGCGTCAAGGTCGTCCAGGCAGGGAACAGTGGTGGTTTGGATCCAGGTTCTGTCAGTGGAGTTGCAGAGAAAGGGCAGGTGTGAATTGCGTTTTCGAGGTGGTAGTGCTCTGTCTTACTGATCGATCAGATGAGGGAGGTGAGGGCAGGAAGTCAGGTGAAGCTCCCAGAGGGGGTCCTGAATGCGTGGGTGTGTGTGGAGGAAACCTACTAGATTTCCACTTGTACTGTCTGGGATTTGAGATTCCTGTGAAGTATTAGGGAAGGTCAACCAGTGTGTATTCAGACATTAGGCAGGCAATTTGAGATTCAAATCCAGGTCTCAGAGGATGTATTTGGGCTGGAAATGTACATTTGGAAAACATCAGATAAAAATTATATTTGAAGCCATGGGAACAAATCAGTGAGTGTATAGAGAGAAAAAAGAAAACAAAGTGCCCAAGACTAAGACCTGACAAGCCACAGCATGTAGAGAATGGCTGTTTACCACCTCAGTGAGCAGAGTGTTCATCTGCTCCTCTGCACCTAGGCCCTGTGCCACCAGCACTGGGACTCTGAGTTGTGGCATCACTGGACAGAGACAGAAAGCAGGCTGGCAGACGCACAGAGCTGGACTCGCCTGAGTGGGCGTGACTCTGACAGGAGTCCTCTGGCCTGTCTCCATTCTCCCTGCAGCCCCCAGGGCAGCCAGTTCTGAGCATTTGCATGGCCCGGTGCCCACCTGCTGCCGCCTGGGATGCGGCAATGTCCTGCTGGCTGGACGTGCCCTCTCCTCCTCCTCACTTTAGACCTAGTCACCTCCTAATCCTGTTAGAAACACTTCAGTTACTTCTCACTTGTCTTCAAAATAAAGGAAAAACCTAATTTCTGAGCTAAGTTCTGGTGTGCAATGAATTTTGAGTGTCATTGCTCAATGAACTCAGGAGTTAGCTTTTCGAATGATTATTGAGGTGAATTTGGGGTTTAGATTTATATGTATACCTTTATTTTTTTCACAGCAAAAGTGCATTTGTACAAAGAAAAAAATGATAGAAACTGTACAATTTAATAAGAAAATTTTAAGTAAATGTAAATTTAGAGTTTGAAGGGTAATTTATGCATGAGCTGATCACTTTTTATCAGGTATATCTCATACTTTTGTTGAAAACGTCCAACAGTCCTAACGCTTATTTTACTTGCCCACATAAATAATGTTCATTATATAAATCAACTCTAAACACTGTTTCTGTGGCTTATACATTATATATTACAAACAGTCCTAACGCTTGATCACTTTTTATCAGGTATATCTCATACTTTTGTTGAAAACGTCCAACAGTCCTAACGCTTCTTTTACTTGCCCACATAAATAATATTCATTATAAAAATCAACTCTACACACTGTTTCTGTGGCTTATACATTATATATTCACATATATTATAACATTGCTTGTATTTTCAAATTAACTTGAAGTAAATATCAGTCATTTAAAATGCCACTGTTTTTAACTTGAACAGTCTCTTGACATGTCTGTAACCAATAATATATGCAGGTTTTAACTTTACAAGATATTTTTGCATTATCTCAAAGAAATGTCAGAATTTTTTTTACATTGTATAATTTTGTTATTGCTTATTTATGTGGAAAGTTTTGTAAGCCTGCCCTTCTAGGACATTTTATATACAGGTTGAATATTGCTTATCCAAAATGGTTGGAAACAAAAATGTTTGGATTTGGGTTTTTTTTTTTTCCCCCTGAATATTTGCAGAATACATACCAATGGAGTGTCTCTAATCTGAAAATCCAAAATCCAGAATTCTCCAGTGAGCATTTCCTTTGACTGTTATGTTGGCACTGAAAAAGTTTTGGATTCTGGAGTATTTTGGATTTCAGATATTCAGATTAGGGATGCTCAACCTGTAATAATTAGTTGTTAGAAAACTTGTGATAAAATGTTAACTGACATCCAATTGAACAGATTTCTCTTTCAGTCATTGTAAAGTAGTCTTCCACACATTATTTTAAGGAGAAAGAGAAATATCAGAGGAAAACATGGATAATATCACTAAACAGACAAAAAACATAACTCTAGAATGGTAGAATGTATTCTCTTCTAAATTACTCTTTAAAATCCCTGAAGGAAAAGCAGCGATTTTTATCTTATTTTTTTTTTAAATGACAGACATAAATATTTATGAATATTCTAATGACAGACATAAATATTTATGAATATTCTATTCATAAATATTTTCCAAGGGAATGGAATGGGTTCCCCAAGATTACAGTACATTAGTTCAGACTTCACTCTTCCTTGATGTGTTGAAAATACTGTCATGGGTATGATACTGTATAGACTAACCATATGAAATTGATGAAAATGACATGAAATTTACCTACAAAATTGAAAGTTTCAACTAAATTCTTAGGTTTATTGTACCTAAAGATTTCAGGAAGATAAGTAGCTTACTATTAGAATAAAAAAGCTTTTCTAATTAACCATCATTTAATCAGAAACTTAAAATCTTTTCAAAAAAATTTTTTATTTATTTGAAATGTATTGATTTTAAGATTATTTCTTATGGGCCGAGCCCGTGGCACACTCGGGAGAGTGCAGTGCTGGGAGCGCAGCAACGCTCCCACCACGGGTTCGGATCCAATATGGGAATGGCCAGTGCACTCACTGGCTGAGCGCGGTGTGGGCGACACCACACCAAGGGTTGCGATCCCCTTACTGGTCATGAAAAAGACAAAAAAAAGATTATTTCTTAAGCACTCCTTTTAATCAAGTTATAATTATATTTCACGTTCTCTTTACATACAACTACTAAAGCATTACTTGTTTTTAAATTATTACTAAAAGACATCTAATATGTTTAATTTTTTTTTTTTTAATTTTTAAGACTGCCGAGAAGTCAGGCCATATTGAAAGATCGAAGAATGTAAGGCAAAGACACAATGATTTTAAGGTAAGTTAAGAATAAGTATGTAGACTTTATTACAGGGTGTAGGGTATTCTCACCCAAAGTTACATTCAAGGTATGCATGATTGTTCAGGCATGACCTTCTAGTTAATTTAATCAGATTAAGGCATTTTAATGCAGTTTGCTTGTTCGTTTTCTAGAAAATGATTCAGGAGGTAATGCACTCCCTGGTGAAGCTGATCCGCGGGGCCCTGCTCCCGCTCAGCGTCCGGGAGGGAGAGGCGAGGCAGCACGGAGGCTGGGAAGTGAAGACGGAGCTCTCGGGACACTGGCTCACTCACGTCGTCCAGACCGTGAGGTAAATGGGACACAGTCTCAGGAAAAGGGGTCATTTTTTTTTTTCGCTTTTTGAAAAACAAACGTGTAGGATATACATTTTCAACCAAGAAGCACTTTTACTTTTCTTTCTCTCTATCCTTTTACCTCTGCTGTTTCCCACACATCATCCAACAACCAAGCTCTGAAACGTTAAACGAGAATGTGGTGCTGTATTTACATTTTTTTGTTGTTTAGCTCAGGACTACTGTTCCATTGTGATCCCCTGTCACGGTCTCACTTTCCCTGTTTTAAGCCTCATGCTGTGGCTCGTAAGCTCCGTGAGGAGCTGTCACAGGATGGTGAAAGTGGTGACGGGCATTGCTGTGGGCCCCACTCTGCTCACTTCTGTTTCATTGTGTCTGTTTCGCAGGCTTCCCTATGAGTCACTGACTGCCCTTGAGATTCCTAATGACATGTTACAGACCATCCAGGATCTCGTTTTGGATCTCCGAGTACGTTGTGTAATGGTCACATTGCAACACACGGCAGAAGGTACGTTAAAAAAATTGATGACGTTTACTGGACCATGGTTATCTGAATATGCCACCTCCTTTGAGCTTCCAAATCCTTGAAAATAAGAGAAAATGACTCTATGGAAATTTGAATATATTGGTTCATCTTATTTCGAGCAGCTCTATAGAATGTTTTTCTTTTCTTTTCTTTTTTTTTAATTTTTTTCCAAATCAACTTAGTTGAGATATAAGACCATGCAGAAATTAGGATGGATATACTTGCAGATATTTAAGAATAATATAAACATCCGTGTGGCAAATAAGTAAAATAGCACATGAAATGTATGTAAAGTATAATTCTAGTTTT